TTTTTGATGATACAAAAAAATGTTTCAGATAAAAGTGGAATGGTTTCGAAGAAAACGTATTTTAGTCATGTTGCTTTTTTCCTAGATGGAGGCGCCAAAAAGATATAAAGGTCACACCCACTTTTTTGAATGGAATTATATAATTTTTATTACATAATATGATTCTTCTAATTATTCTGCATATAAAAGTATTAAGGTAAAATTATCTAAAAATCAATATTTTATGAAATATTTTATACTTTATCATGCCATATTTTGACATAAAACATGAAATATCTCGTAAACTATTGATTTCTTGATAATTGTACATCAATACTTTTATGCACAGAATACTGAGATAAATCGATTGGTGTAAAGAAAACACACAGTTGCTTTTTAAAGGAAATATGTAGTTGCATATTACAAGGTGCATATTTTTTACATTTACTCCGGTTTACATCCATTCCATTGATATGCCAATTTAATCAGTATTTTGTGATGTAAACTTTACTTATTCTCAAAACCTGAGCTTGAATACTATTATATCTGATCGATCGTGTTAACGCACATCTTTAAATCGATATAGTGATTTTTTCACTCATCCGAGCAGTATGCCAACGATATATTTCATTAATTTATATAAAAATGTGATTGTTTACTAAATGGCAACACAAATACTGTCATATCCGAGCCTGTTTCTTATAAGAGGTCACTTTGCGCCGCTATACCAACCCGTTCCATCCACTTTAGAGGTATTATGCCGATTATAGTACGTCGGGTTTTTTTTTCATCAGAGATTGGTACAACTGTCAGACTGAATAATGTAATGGTTTTTTTATTGTACAAATAATTATTTAAAAAATTGTTTTTAACAAGTACATTCACTGTACACGTATGCCAATACAATTGATCTCCTGTTTTCTCTAACACTGAAACAGTAAAGTAATATGAGTCTTCAACTGAATACTATGATGCCCACAAAACCTGCAATGAGTCCTCGAACTAATAACATCGATCGACATGCTAAAAAGTTTCATGAGAAAAGGGGATACTTTTCCGTAGATTTTTTGGCGTTGAAAATAATACTGCCCTCAGAATTTGTCTCACGTCACATTTTCAAGAAAAATAAGGTTGAAATCGTTAAACGCGTTTAACGCGTTTTGGCAATTTTTGAAAAATTGTTATGGACGAACTTAATGTGTTAGAGATTTCTAAAAAAATCTTTAAAAAATGAAAGCTTAAACATATATTGTACTCAAGTTCAAATATCTCCAATATAACGGAACTTTTACGGATTTACCTATGCCGAGCAGCAATGTGTATTTGTAATAAACGCGTGTACCCATCCGTCATTACACGCTACGGCGGAAGTAGGAAAACTTAACAGCAGAAAATATTGTATTTTATATAGTAAATCTATCATTAATTAATGGCTGTGAAAATTACTTCTGAGAGTAATGAAGCAATAAAACTAGTATTGTTACAATTAATGTTAACAAATTGTAATTTTTTACTGTTAGTAGACCGTTTAGTCGCAATATTCACAGTGTTACATACAATGTTTACGTAAGTGTTAAAAAATTAGAAAATGCAGGAAATATAAGACTTCCGCTGTAATGTATATAGTGACAGACGCGCGCGCTCACATCACTATAAACACACGTTATTTCATAATGGAGGTAAATAATTTTCTTAATATTGAAAATATATTCTATATTTGGACTCGAGTACAATAAGTTTATGTTTTTGTTTAAGATGATTTAAAAATTTCTAGCAGGTCAAGATTGTCTGCGATTTTTCAAAAATTGCCAAAAGCGGTTTTTAAGGATTTCCATTTTTCTGAAGAATGAAGTGATAACCAAATTATAAGGGCAACATTTTCAACACCCAAAAACTACGGCAAATCACTTTCCTTTTTCAGGAAACTTTTAACATGCCACCAGTATAATTATATGCATAAGACTAAAATGTTTACAAATAATATATTTGCGTACCTATATGAGTGCAATAGCTAATATTAATTTACGCGAATCTGTATGAAATTTTAACTTGCCTAGTGAACCGAGAAACTGCAATAAATTTCCAGCAATTGGATAACCTGGTGGTCCTGGTATAAGATTTATAAGTTGTCCGTTTCTCCCATAATGTACATAATAATTCCACACCAATATAATAAGGATGA